TACATCAAAATAAAAAAAATACAAATATAAAAAACTTTCGAGGATTTACGATGCTGATGACCGTTAAACGCGTCATCACAGTCTTGTGAAAAGAGTCCATTCTTGATTTTATGGCATTTCAAAAAACGTTCCAACTTTTCTGGAATTGGGGTTGTAATTACTGTCAGACTTTCAAAATCCTACAACACTTGAATTAAGATTATAATAATTTAATTTTAAAGCGCAGCCACCACAAAATGAGACGTACTTTGAGATTCTGAGGTTAAATACAGATTTAAAATCACAACAACAAATTGTTTAACAGCTATGATAAAGTTTTTGAAATAAAATCTTTGCATAGCTATGCCAGGAAACACTGGAATTTAACAATGCCTGGGAAAAAAAGGATATACATAAACCCAAATAAGAAATAAAACAGTTATCAAATAAGCATGTGTCCTGTTCTCTGTACTAAATTTGGTGACTCATATTTTAGAGCAGTCACTGCAATTTATGATAGAAATCAATTAAATCTGTATGTGGGTGTGTGTGTGTGAAAAAAAATTCAGATGTAACCCTCTTTGTAATCGTTAACATTTTGTAAGTAAGTAACAGTAATTTAATTACTCATTTTTTCTCAGTAACTGTAATTGATTACAATTACATTTATTTTGTAATTAAATTATGTAGTTCCGTTACATGTAACTAGTTACTCCCCGACACCAGTGTTGGTTTTTAGATAAAGCAAAGCCCTAATCATATGTATATACGTATAACTCATCCTGCACTGTTTGAGCTCAAACTTGAATTTTACCTCAACTTGCACGGCTTTTTGAAAAGATACCATTGTTAATATGTGCTTAAAGTGGGTGAAAAATGATAAAGTGGGTGAAAGATCAAATAGATTTACGATGAAAGAATAACTTGAGCCATATTTAAGCTGCAGAATATCACAGAAAGCTAGCAGTTAGCAACCACAGAACACCAAAACAATCGTAGCAACATGCTAAAAACACTCAGAATGCACAGCAACACCTGGCAAACACCTTAGCCCTTTTGTCACAGGCAAACACCAATCGCATTTTCTTCAGAGAATGTAAGAGTTTTGAATATTTTTTCAACTTAAATTTTTTTCTCTATCTTAGTTTAGTTTTAGTCTCATATTGTTTTGGTATGAAGCGCGGGTGTAGGCTGCACTGGCCTGTTTGATCTATGAAGGGGGTATTCCATATTCTAATCTCATCTGAAATAATGTGGTCTGGCTTTTTGGGTTTTACCTTTGGGTGATGGGGTTGAAATGAAGATGATGGTGATATAATGAAGACTTGTCCCTTCACAGACATGTGGTATTACCCCACTACAGTGGGACTCCCCCTCGGTCAGGAGGGATGAGGGCGGCAGGGGAGGGACAGTCTGGAGAGATGGAGAGCTCTGCTTCATGATGAAAGTTGAGACCGATTCGATGAACGTACTGCAACCTGCCAGGTTGTTGGGTTCAGATTCTCCTCTCAAAAGCCATTTTAGTTTCTACCGCAAACACTTTCAGTTTTTCCATCCTCCCACTCCTTCTTTCTGTCTTTATGTATCTCACGCTCTCTTTTTTTCTATGTGTTTTGCTCAATCAGTGTCTTGTTGATTTTTATGATCATAAATTTGTGTCTGTAAGATTTTTGGTGGGATGTTTAAAAAAAAAAAATTCTCATTCTAATCAAGGCTGCATTTATTTGATCAAAAATACAGTAAAAACAGTAACAATATTGTGAAATATGATTACAATTCAAAAGAACTGTTTTCTATTTTAATATCAGTGTTGGGAAGGTTACTTTGGAAATGTAATAGGTTACAGATTACAATTTACCCTATTTAAAATGTAATAGTAGTGTAACTATTTCAATTACTTTATTAAAGTAATGTAACTGATTACATTTGAATACTTTTGGATTACTTTTCTAAATTTTTAACAAATGTTTTCAAATGTTATTTTCATTTTCAACCATTTAAAGCAGTCACGGTTAACTTTACAGTAGGACTCAACACTAGTTAGTATCAGACTTTCAAAATCCTTCTTCACTTGAATTAAGATAATTATTTAATTTAAAGCACAGCCACCACAAAATCAGACTTTAGCAGCTATGTTTACTTTGAGATCATTCTGCGGTTAAATACAGATTTATGATCATAAGATATAGTTTAATACTAGCTTTTTGAAATCAAAATATTTGCATAGCCATGTCAAGTAACACGGGCATCTAGCAGTGCTTTGGAAAAAAAAATGTTAATCTTTAAAACTAACCCTAACCCTAACCTAACTTAACCCTAAACTCCTGAAACATTGGTGTCTCATATTTTAGAGCAGTCGATGCAATTTTGGGAAAGAAATAAATCAAATCTGTATGTGTGTGAAAATATTCAGATGCAACCCCCTTTGTAATCTTTAACATTTTCATAAGTAACTGTAATTTAATTACACATTTTTTCTTAGTAACTGTAACAGATTACAGTTACATTTATTTTGTAATTAAATTAAGTAATTCCGTTACATGTAACTAGTTACTCCCCAACACTG